AAAGAAAAAGATGGATAGAAGTCTTGCAAAAGGCCTGGTACCACCACAACTTTTCCTAATCAGGACTACCCGTGACACCCCTCAGTCTCTGCACAGAGCAAGTCACACTGAGGTCTTGACCTCTCTTCATTGGTTTGGATTGTTAGGGGATCCTGTTGTTTCCCCTAGCAAGAATGGGTCTTCCCAGGCATCCAAAATTCATTCAGAGTTGACTTTTATTTAACACAGCAAGAATTTAATGGTAGCCATATATCAGCTTGAGCTGGGTGCTTCCAAGGAGGGACTGTGCTCAAAGTTTTCCCTGGGTTCTCCTACCCACAAAAGCTTAATTTCCTCTACTAGAGTCCAATCAGTTAACACATACATGTTATGTTCCTTCAGATTGGTCATTCTCTGTTGCAGGGTAGGATGTGTCTTGGTTTCAGTTAGAACAGAATTAATTTTCTTCCTAGTAGCTGGTGGAATGCTGTGTTTTGGCTTAGGATGAGAAGAGTGCTGATAACACCCCGATGCTCTAATTGTTGCAGAGCAGTGCTTATACTAAGCCAAGGACATCTCAGCCTTTTGCTCTGTCCTGCCAACGGGCAGGCTGGGGGTGCAGTAAGAGCTGGGAGGGGACAGACCCAGGACAGGTGACCCAAACTAGCCAAAGGGGTATTCCATACCATCTGACGTCATGCTAAACAATATATAGGGGTGGCTAGCCGGGGGAAGGGGGCCGGACTGCTCGGGGTTAGGCTGGGCATCGGTCAGCGGGTGGTGAGCAATTGCATTGTGCATCACTTGTTTGTACATACTATTATTACTTACCTATTATCACCATTGTATTATTATTATTATTATTATTATTATTATTATTATTATTATTATTATTATTATTATTATTATTTTCCTGTCTTATTAAACTGTCTTTATCTCAACTCATGGCTTCACTTTCCATTTCTCTCCCCCGTCCCAGAGAGGGAGGGGGGAGGATGAGCGAACGGCTGCGTGGTGTTTAGCTGCCGGCCGGGTTAAACCACGACAGATGGCTGATGTTATGTCCCAGGGCAGGCTCCCATCTGGCACCTCCATGGTCAGCACATCCCCCGTCCCCCATCGGTGCCACCCAGAGCCCCCACAATGCTGCTCAGTCACCACTACATGCCACATGCCATGTTCAGGTGAGGCAGAGCTCCTGCTATGGCCTGAGGCTTCACTACATTTCCTCCACTAATGTCAGATAATAGGTAGCCCAGTCTCTTACACTTCAGTGGCTTCTCTCCCTTTCAGTGAGCTTTTGGGATTTAAAATCTGGATGCAGTATTCTGGATTATGCCCTGCCTCCATCTCATGGCCAGGGACCTGCTCACACAACCCAGGATGCTGCTGGCCTCCCTTGCAGCCAGGGCACAGCGCAGCCCCCTGCACAGCCCCCTGCCCACCAAGACCTTTCCCATTGGGCTGCTCCCCACCAGGCAGCCCCCAGCCTGTGTCTTTGCTGAGATTAGTCCCCTGCAGGGGCAGAAACTGGCATTTGTCCTGTGTGATTTCATGAAATTCCTGTCCATTCCTGCTCTTCTCTTCCTTGATCCCTCTTCTGAAGCACAGAGGATTGAAGACCTGTGGAATGAGAAGTGAAAACTAAGGCAAAGAAGGCACTGAGTGCCTCCAGCCCCATCAGGGTCTGTTGTTCTGCAGTCACACTCCTCCTTTCAGCAGCAGCCCTGCTTTTGTCTTGTCCAGCCTTGAGCTCTAATGCCGTCACTAAAGCTTGGATTTTTACTCTTGACTTTTCTTGCAGCTACAAGTTCCAGGTGAACACTGCCTTTCCCCCAGTCATAACAGCATAACAAAGGAATCATCCATTAATTCATTTTTTATGTCCTTCCTTGCAGTCACCTCCTGAAACAGAGGCTTCATGGTCCCTGTCTGGGCTTTGTCCCTACACCAGCCTGTACCTTCTACCCCACACATGGTCTCATTGTTCAGGCACAGCACGGGGAAGAGTATGTTCAGGGTGGGCAGTGGTCCCCCAGTATGATCCCCAGTGCAGCCCTCGGTTTTCCCCTTCCCCATGTGCCTGGTGCCTGCCATGCCCTGACCATGTCCCACAGGGGGTTCCACAGACATCCCTGTTCTGAGGTCTGAAGGGGTCTGGACCAGGGAAGAGGTTGGAGAGAGCTTGTCATTTCCCCAACACAGGCAGGGAGCTTAAGGTGAGGATGGGGGTGGGCTGGCAGCAAACCTCAGCCATAAATCAGAGTGAGCAGCCAGTACTAGGAACAGCCATCCTCAGAGTCTGGGGATAATGAGTGTCCTGGGCCATCTTCACATGCTAATCATTCCACCAATGGCCCAGACTGGCTGCCTGCCTCCTGTACTTGCATGTTACTCCTGTCCATGAGCCCTGGCTCTGCACCACAAATCCCCTGCTGTGAGTCCTCACCTGGCATGGCCACACAACTCAGACAACATCCGAGTTTTCCTCTGCCAGGCAACTTCCAGCCCAGCCCAGCCCCTCCCCAGTTTTTCCAAACCCTGCCCAGCCCCTCCCCTGTCTCCAACCAGACCAGCAGCACACTCCGGGCTGGCGCCACCGAAGTGCCCACCGTGGGGTGCTGCAGAGCTCTGAGTGCCCAAGCGCAGCCACAGACCCTCTGAAGGGTCTCAAGAGATCCTTATTCCTGACTGTCTGAATCCCTTCTGTGCCAGCCCCTCTCCCCAGCACAGGACTCCTGCACCTGGAGCTCTTTGGGCTGCTGCTGTCCCAGTGACAGAGCAGCCTGCCTTGAGCTGATGCATGCAGAAGAAATGTTTCCTTGCTCGTTTATTGCTCCCTGTAGCATGTCCTTGCCTTCAAAAAGGCTTTCCCTAGGGGATTGTGTTCATGCTGGCCTCACCTGCCACTCCTGTCCCCTCCCTGTGCTCCCTGCAGGGCCCAGAGCTGGTGATGCTCTGCAGAGTGAGGGGCCTTGTTTAAAACTGTTTCTGTTATAAATCGCTCAGTCCCAAAATAGGATTATAATCAAAATTTACAATTTATTAAAAGAATAGAGGTAAGCAAACAGCACTGGGTGAGTCAGGAGTCTCTGCTCCACCTAGACGCACACCAGTTACATTGAGCAGCTGATTTTTATGCTCCTAGGCTGATACATATTCATTACTACTTCTAAAAAAAAATGGGTTATTATAATTAGTTTCCGGAATCCAAACCCTCCTACTGGAGCATGCGTATCAGTCTCTGGTGGTCCTCCTGGGGGTCTCTGGGGGTCTTTCATGTTGAAGGCTTGTAGTCTTCCTCTCAGTTTTTTTTTTCTTGTCCTTCCCCTTTGTACTCCGTGGCAGCATGTCAAAAGCTTACACAGCGTTCCCTGCAAGTTTTGTCTTCTAGCTGTCCTTCAGCTTCTTTCTTCTCCTTAATCTCCTGGCCAGATACCAGGGGCTTGCATAGTGTCCCATTCAGAAGTCATAACAGTCACTAGTTGTTAGCAGTTGTTCTGAAACCCCCAGACATCAGAGACTTCAAAGAAAGAACATACAAATACAAATAGCTCTCTATTGATACTTCACGAGTTGTTAAAACATTCCTCACAGGCCATTCACAGAGACACTCCAGTCACATCTATAGCAGTGCTAAATCAATCACAAAGGAGGCAAAAAAGCTGTATCTGTTAGGAATAAGAGTTCGGAATCAGTAACAAAAGCAAATAGGCTCATGGATTTGAGGAATATTTCTGAAGATTTGATAAATTGACTATAATGAGGAGGAGACTGGGACACGGGGAGGAAAGGGAAGAAATTACATCTGTGGAAGAATTAAATTGCCAGTGCAGGACCCAGAGACAGACAGAACTGCTCTCTATTGACATGAATTAGATGAACATATCTCACAGTTTCCTTTTGTTTTATCATTAATGGCCCGAGCAAAAAGTTGTTTTCCATTTTTTATTTTTTATTTTTTTTTAATTTTTTAATAAGCCCCTGTTTAAGCACTGAAAAGCTTCAATGAGGTCACTCCAGACCCTTCTATTCTTCAGGCTGAACAGCCCCAGCTCTCTCAGCCTTTCTTCACAGGAGATGTGCTGCAGCCCTCTGATCAACTTTGTGGACCTCTGGACACACTCTAATAGATAAACATCCTTCTTGTGCTGGGGACCCTGCACTCCAAATGAGGCCTTACAAGGGCAACCAGAGGGGCACAATCACCTCCCTTGACCTGCTGGCTACTCCTCTGCTGATACAGCCCAGGGTGCAGTTGGCCTTCCGGGCTGCAAGTGCACACTGCTGTCTTATGTCATACCTTCTGTCCACCAGAACCCCCAAGTCCTTCCCTGCAGGGCTTCTCTCAATGAGTTCTCCCCGTCTGTACTCATGTCTGGGATTGCCCTGACCCAGGTGCAGCACCTTGCACTTGGACTTGTTGAACCTCATTATGTTAACATTGGGCGCACTTCCCAAGCTTGTCTAGGTCCTTTTGGACGGCATCCCTTCCTTCTGTTGTATCAACTGCAACACTCAGCTTGGTGTCATCTGCAAACTTGCTGAGAGTGCACTTGATCCCACTATCTATGTCACTGATAAAAATACTAAACTGTACTGGTCCCAAGACAGACCCCTGAGGGGCACCACTTGTCACTGGCCTACTCATTGAGAGCAATTCCACAGAGCAATGTTCTCCACCTGAATATAATGCAGTTTCCTCCAGATAAAACAATTTCTTCAGCCTGTTCCTGACCTCAGCATGTAGAAGAAGAGACCGACCTCCAGGCACCAGCACTGAGGAAATCCTCCTTTATTACGGAGATGCGACAGAGCTGTGCCATAGCACCAGATATATGTACATGGGCCTCTGGGTACGACAGAGTGTGTTCAGACCTCTGCAGAAGTGGAGTGCATGCAGAAATTCCTGGACAAACAAGATCATCACAGCCAAAAAGATCAAAGACCAGGAGTTTCCTGAGATCAATTGGAAATCCCTTGTGAAGGACTTTGGCAGATTATGGCTTCAGAAGTACTGCTTACTGAGTCAGCTTCTTCAGTGCATCCTTGAGATCCTGGTTCCTCATGATGTAGATGAGGGGGTTCACTGCTGGAGGCACCACCGAGTACAGAACTGTCACAACTACGTCCAGGGATGGGGAGGAGATGGAGGGGGGCTTCAGGTAGGTAAACATGCCAGTGCTGGAAAAGATGGAGACAACAGCCAGGTGAGGGAGGCATGTGGAAAAGGCTTTGTGCCGGCCCTGCTGCGAGGGGATCCTGAGCACTGCTCTGATTATCTGCGTGTATGAGAAAAGAATGAAAACAAAACAGCTGAGTACTAAACAGACACTAACCACAAGAAGCCCAGCTTCTCTGAGGTAGGCATCTGAGCAGGAGAGCTTGAGGATCTGGGAAATTTCACAGAAGAATTGGCCCAGGGCATTGCCTTGGCAGAGTGGGAGGGAAAAGGTATTGGCAGTGTGCAGGACAGTGTTGAGAAAACCACTGCCCCAGGCAGCTGCTACCATGTTGACACAAGTTCTGCTGTCCATGAATGTCCAATAGTGCAGAGGTTTGCAGATGGCAATGTAGCGGTCATAGGCCATGATGGTGAGAAGGGAATATTCTGCTCCAAGCATGAAGAAGAAAAAAAAGACCTGGGTAGCACAACCTGAGTAGGAGATGGCTGTTGTCTTCCTCAGGGAATTGGCCATGGCTTTGGGGACAGTGGTGGTAATAGTGCCCAGGTCGAGGAGGGCGAGGTTGAGGAGGAAGATGTACATGGGGGTGTGGAGGCGGTGGTCGCAGGCTACGGCTGTGAGGATGAGGCCATTGCCCAGGAGGGCAGCCAGGTAGATGCCCAAGAAGAGCCCAAAGTGCAGGAGCTGCAGCTCGCGTGTGTCTGCAAATGGCAGCAGGAGGAACTCAGTGGGGAAGCTGCTGTTGGACATTTGCTGCATCTGGGCATGTTTACCTGTCCATGGAGGAAAACACACAAACCATCAGGACAGGATCTCTGAGCAGAATCGACTCTGTTTCTCACAGATTCCTTACACACTCAGTTCCATTTTCCCCTGCTCAGGATGGCATACTTACAGCTCCCTGGCTGGTGCTTTGTTCTGTTTTGTTTGAGTGAACTGTGAGGAACATAATTCCCTGCCTGAGGGCTCCTTCACAGGACACTCAGCTTACCCCAACCCTGCTGCCCCAAAGAGCTGACATACCCAATGGCCCCAGCATAAGAGAAAGGAAGCAACACAGAGAGGTAGAGGGAAAAGGACAAGCAGCATGACTGAGAAAGGGGAGGGAGAGATGAGCAAGCAGGAAGGGGTCACTCTGCCCAGCCGTGCCTGCTGCCTACCAGGCAGCACCATGACAGAACAGTGGCTATCAGCCCTTTGCAGGACAGCGGGACAGGGCACAGAACTGGAAAGGCAGACCTTCCTTCTTCTGGGGCTCTGGCTATCCAGGAGGCAGCTCCTGCCCAGGACCCCCCAGCCCAGAGGGCAGAGGCTCTGCTGGGTGGGAGAGGAGAGCTGAGGGGGGTTGCTCAGGGATGGAACCTGCACTGCAGGGGATGGTAGGAGGTGCCTGTCTATCCTCTGCAGCAGGGTTTCCCGTTGCAGTTCCCTTTCTCCCTGCTCATTTCTGCTGCCTGCAGGAGTCCCTTCCAGGAACTCCTTTTCTGTCCCCATGTCTGTGTGTTGCCAGTGCTCACACACCCCATCCATCTGCTGCCTGCTCAGCTCTGTCCTGAACCCTCTCAGTGTGTGCAGGTGCAGAAGAGCAGGTCACACAAGCCCTGATGAAACTGGGAAGGTGATGCTGCTGCATTATGAAGGACTGAGGATGCTGAAGGCACTTTCTGAGGTTCCTCACAAAAATTGAGGTGACAGAAACTCAAAATCTTCTGTACTCCGTAAACTTCTGTTTCCATTCCTATCCTGATGAACCAAAGAAATCTGAAAGCACAGCATCAGGAAAGCCCAGACCACAACAGGCAGCCACAGACTGGACCTTCTGTCTGAAAAGTCCCTCTGATATGGCCTGGGGGTGCTGTGGAGCTGTGAGCATCCTGCCTCAGGCATCAGCAGGACCCTGCCCTGCCCTGCCCTGCCCTGCCCTGCCCTGCCCTGCCCTGCCAGGAGGCTCCTTCCATCCACAGCTTCTCCCCACAGCACCCTGGGCAGCTCCCTAGGCAGGCTGAGTGCTGAGCCTGGCAGGCAGCAGAGGTTCTGCCCAGGTACACAGCCCCTGGGGCATAGCAGGGACCCTGCTCTGCACCACAGCACTGGCCATCCCTGCCTGCACCCTGCCTGCACAGCCTGTAGCCAGCCCGGTGATTAGGAAGCCTCATGTCCTGTCCTTCTGACAGCTTTGGCAGGTAATCAGTATTCCAGGGAATATCTATCCCTGTTCTCTGTACTAGAGAAGCCAGCACAGCTCCTGTGACATGTCTTATAAGCCATGGGAACTGGAAGCTATAGAAGAACCCTGTAGGATACTGCATTTCCTGCCCTCACTCAGACACTTACCACGTTACAGCTGTGAAGATTTCTCCCACAGTGAGCTCTCAGCATCCCCCTTCCACTCTGCCTTTAACATCTCCCTCCCTTCTCTCAGCCACCCTTGTCCTCTGCAGGCAGTGCCCCCAGCCCTGCTGCGCTGTGCAGAGGAGCTGCGCCTGGGCAGAGCTGTCTCTCTGCAGTGCTGCCCGCTTGCCAGGAGCTCCCCTTGGGCCCAGGAACCTGGCCCAGCTCATCAGCACAGCTCCAGCTCAATGCGTCCTTGTGTCCCTTCACCCTCCCTGGAGATGTCCCTGGACCTCCAGGGGAATTGACTTTGAAAGTGAAGCAATCCCTGATGTTCCTTCCCTGCACTGGACAAGGGAAATCATTTCCAGCACTGTTGTTATGCATTATCAGATAAACAATATGGGCAATGACACAGAATCACCTTTCCATGTCCTGGTTTCAGGCAGGTCATCCATGCAAGGACCCGGAGAGATTTTTCTTTCTCCTGGTGAGGAAAGGGTTTCAGCTTAGTCTACCAAGACATCTCATTCTTTGCAGTCCAGAAGCTAGAAGGGGGTTCAGCTCCCTCCCATGCCTTACACAAGCCCACAGGATTCCTCTTGCCTGGGCACAAACCAGGCATCTGCATGTAATCTGCTTGCCTCAGCTCCCAGCACATTGAATGGAGACAGAGGCCAGGAGGGAGCCGATTTGCCAGAGGTTGTCAGAGACATATGCAAGTATCTATATGGTCTGATGGATTAATTGTGGGAGTCAGGGAGCATCCGGGAGATTTTCTTGGGCTAACAGAAATGAGAGCAGATGCCTGCATTTAGCACCACTGAATCTTTTTAGTGTCCATTAGTATTCTCTGAGCAACCTACACTGCTTTCACTTGACGATATGGAGTCATGTAGCACAGGGAGAGCTAACTTTCTGTGTTTACAATACCTCCATTACTGACCATAATGGCAGTGGCCTCATGGACATTTCCACATTGCCTAAGCCAATTCAGGGAAGGTTCTTTATTTTGTTATGGCCAAATACTGGGCCTGTAGCGCTACATCAGATGTCAAGACTCTCACATAAAACTACCTGTGGCTGGAAGGGCCAGCACTGGTCCTGGGAAGGAAAGCCATCCCCATCCAGAGCAAAAGCATGGCAGAAAACCAAGGCAGCAATTGCAGACAGTTTGCTCCCTCCCTCCACTTTTACTCAGACTCTTGATGTCACAGAATCACACAGAATCACAGAATTTCTAGGTTGGAAGAGACCTCAAGATCATCGAGTCCAACCTCTGACCTAACGCTAACAGTCCCCAATAGACCATATCCCTAAGCTCTACATCTAAATGTCTTTTAAAGACTTCCAGGGATGGTGACTCCACCACTTCCCTGGGCAGCCTGTTTCAATGTCTAACAACCCTTTCGGTAAAGTAGTTCTTCCTAACATCTAACCTAAAACTCCCCTGGCACAACTTAAGCCCCCTCATCCTGTCACCAGGCACGTGGGAGAACAGGCCAACCCCAACCTCACTACAGCATCCTTTAAGGTACCTGTAGAGAGCAATAAGGTCACCCCTGAGCCTCCTCTTCTCCAGGCTGAACAAGCCCAGCTCCCTCAGCCGCTCCTCGTAGGACTTGTTCTCCAGGCCCCTCACCAGCTTCGTCGCCCTTCTCTGGACCCACTCAAGCATCTTGATGTCCTTCTTGTAGTGAGGGGCCCAAAACTGAACACAGTACTCGAGGTGCGGCCTCACCAGAGCTGAGTACGGGGGGACGATCACCTCCCTAGCCCTGCTGGCCACACTGTTTCTGATACAAGCCAGGATGCCGTTGGCCTTCCTGGCCACCTGAGCACACTGCTGGCTCATATTCAGCCGACTGTCCACCATCACTCCTATGTCCTTCTCTGCCTGGCAGTTCTCCAACCACTCATCTCCCAGCCTGTAGCTCTGCTTGGGGTTATTGCGCCCCAGGTGCAGGACCCGGCACTTGGCCTTGTTGAACTTCATGCAGTTGACCTCAGCCCATTGGTGCAGCCTATCCAGATCCTCCTGCAGAGCTTTCCTACCCTTGAGCAGATCAACACATGCGCATAGCTTGGTGTCATCTGCAAACTTACTGAGGGTGCACTCAATGCCCTCGTCCAGATCATTGATGAAGATATTAAAGAGGACCGGCCCCAGCACCGAGCCCTGGGTAACACCACTAGTGACTGGCCTCCAACTGGACTTGACTCCATTTACCACGACTCTTTGGGCCCGGCTATCCAGCCAGTTTCTAACCCAATGAAGCATGCGCCAGTCCAAGTCAAGAGCAGCCAGTTTCTTGAGGAGAATGCTGTGGGAGACGGTGTCAAAAGCCTTGCTGAAGTCAAGGTAGACCACATCCACAGCCTTTCCCTCGCCCACCCAGCGCGTCACTTTGTCATAGAAGGAGATCAGGTTCATCAAGCAGGATCTGCCTTCCATAAACCCATGCTGGCTGGGCCTGATCGCCTGCTTGCCCTTCAAGTGCCGCATGATGACTCTCAAGAGGATCTGCTCCATGAGCTTCCCTGGTACTGAGGTCAAACTGACAGTCCTGTAGTTTCCCGGGTCTGCCCTCCGGCCCTTCTTGTAGATGGGCATCACGTTTGCTAGCCGCCAGTCAACTGGGACCTCCACCGATAGCCAGGACTGCTGATAAATGATGGATAGGGGTTTGGCCAGCACCTCTGCCAGTTCTCTCAGTACCCTTGGGTGGACTCCATCCGGCCCCATCGATTTGTGCACATCCAAGTGCCGTAGCAGGTCACCAACCAGTTCTTCGTGGATAGTGAGGGCCACATCCTGCTCCCCATCCCCTTCCACCAGTTCTGGGTACTGGGTATCCAGAGAACAACTGGTATTGCCGCTAAAGACTGAGGCAAAGAAGGCATTGAGCACCTCCGCCTTTTCCTCATCTCTTGTAACTAAGTTTCCCCCCGCATCCAGTAAAGGATGGAGATTCTCCTTAGTCCTCCTTTTTGTGTTGATGTATTTATAAAAAAGTTTTTTGTTATCTTGAATCGCAGTAGCCAGATTGAGCTCCAGATGAGCTTTGGCCTTCCTAATTTTGTCCCTGCACAGCCTCGCTACATCCTTACAGTTCTGCCTAGTGGCCTGTCCACTTTTCCAAAGATTATAAACCCTCTTTTTTCTCCTAAGCTCAAGCCACCATTCTCTGTTGAGCCAGGCTGGTCTTCTTCCCCGCTGGCCCATCTTTGGGCACATGGGAACAGACCGCTCCTGCGCCATTAAGATTTCCCTCTTGAAGAGTGCCCAGCCTTCCTGGACCCCTCTGCCCTTCAGAACCGCCTCCCAAGGGACTCCACCAACTAGTGTCCTGAGCAGCTCAAAGTCAGCCCTCTGAAAGTCCAATACAGCAGTTTTACTGGTCCCCTTCCTGGCCTCG